TTCTAATCTCTACCTCTACGGGCTTACTTGAATCAGCACAAAACCATAGAGACAGTCATTGTAAGATGATTATATTTGTTGGACATCCGGAAAATTAAAGTTAGATTTCACTGCAGCTTGTGTAAAGCCTCAGGATAGCTGCGAATATATATTCACCTGAGTAGATAGAATCGGTTGCAAAGTAGATTTAGTGATTCCGATTTGGTACTGCCCAACGAACTCTGTTGTACCGACACACCAAGAGAAAAACATCAAGTGGGAAAGGTTGTTTCAAAGAGTCAATGATGATTCCATCGAAAGTATATATTCAACGACATCCTTCTAAATTTATTTTCTCGTGCGTTTTATGCCACCAGACTTACTGCTCTCCCGTTATCTTTACAAGTCTACTGTCTAAGGATTTCATATTAATTAGACAGTCTCTGAAAAACACCTCTGAAAATAAAACTGTATCTTACGAGGAACTGGTTGATTACATTGTCAACCAACACCTTAAGGCGTTTGACAGTCTGTGTGACTCTATATTGTCTGATGCGTCACATCCTTTACACACATCCCTATATAGCTTCGTTTCAACTTTTGTCACACGCGACAAATTTAAAGCCTCATACACTTGAACCACTGCTTTTCACAACTCGTTTGTACCTTACTTTTCACGTTTGTCGGTTTCCAGGGTACGAATAGCAAACGAACTAATGTTAATTTTCACGCTGAAATTTTCATCATTTTTTACGCGTTTTCAGTGTCCTGCTTATCATCATTTAAGTAACTATTTGCCATATCGTTAAACTCATTTTTAGTAGCGTGTATGCCAAAGCAAAATTGATAACACTCTTTTCACCGACAATACACAAGTGAGTCCAACAACTTCTATTCAAACAGTCATCGATTCCAAGTGAACCAAGTCTAACGGTTATCTCATGCTCGTCTTCCTGTATTTTGATCAGATTTCCGCTTAAGTCAGTGTATTTATGTTGTTTCTGAACAGAAGTTGAGAACTGTTCAGGAATAAAATGCAAAATTTCCCGAGTGCTAGCATCCACAGAACAGCCTGTAAAAGCTCCCCAAACAACAGAAGTTTATAAATCGGCCTATGATAACATCTAACTGAGGGTCGTAACCGCGATTTAAAAAGGCAGAGTTTTCTTGACTGACAAGCATCACGGACGGTATTTATTAAGCTGCATCACTTTCTTTATTCATGAAGGGTTGTAAATCGGTTCTCTTAGCACAGGTGACTGAACCTATTTCGGCATATTCGCCCAGTTTGTCAATTTGTTAGAAGACAGCCCATTATCAACCCACATCGTTCCACAACCACGGCATATATCACAACGGCGGGTGGNATGAACATTTTCATTGCTTGATTCCCCTGTTTGTTAAATACTTTATTCCGGTGTGACCTCGGAATGCTAGCTCAAAGTGGAATGCAACTGAACAAAGTGCCCGTACATGAAAACCGAACTTGAGAAATCTGTAAACCAACATTCTGCTAGAAATTGCCATCTGGGTATGTTTTAGATTGGTGGCATGATGAGATTTATTTATTCGTGTATTCGTACTGTGTGGGAATTAGTACTCGCCAATTGCAATCATTTTTCTAATCTATTCAGCATCCCAATACCCGTTCACATTTAACTCATCATAGTGCATGACACAAGTTAGTTCTTTCACCGCTTCTCAAATCACAAGTATTAATGAAGTTCCCGTTCTCGATTCCACTACCAAACAGAGAAATACTCTCAATCACAAATGTCCCCATAATCAATACTTCTATATGTTTTTCAGTAAAAAGAGGAATTATGTTTACCCAGTGGGATGACCTTGAGTTCCCTATGGATAACACCAGAAATCATTTGCGTCAGGCGCACGTCGTCGTTAATTTGGCCTTAGCTTATTAAATTTTACGTATAATGTTCATCAGTTGCATTAAAGAATAAATTAGGCCTTGTTTGAGTTATCAGTCACCAATTGTCGTAAAAGAGGAATCCGGTTCATCAAAAGCTAGTTATCATTGTACTCAACTTCTTTTGATGCGCTCTGATAAATGTTTAACGGTATTTGCATTACCATATAAACCTGCATAAATAGCATAACCAACCAATCAAGCTAACAGGCTGAAAGGATATGATTATTTGCTCTGACGCCACGGTATCCAGATATATCGGCAAACAATTAGCTATCACTTGGTTACAAATCAAACAATGGATGAAACTGGTTCGTCTCAAATGAACACGTGGAACGGTGTAAGAGAAACATGAAATCACTGCCATTTAATGAGCTATTAATAGTGAATTTGTGTTTACGAAGTTTTGAGTGCATGGTGCACCCTAAAACACACTCAGATGGCGATCAAACGGGGTGGGAACATAGTTTCTCTCCTATCCACTGAACAAGAATCTTATTATTGACCAATCAAAGACTTTGAATAGAGAAGTCAGAAACATGTATTTGCACGATGATCATTTCGCCTAATCGGAACATGTGCATACTGCATTCAGATTGCTTTTACAGTCTGTGAGGACCCACTCGTAAACGGATATCGAATTGCATTCATCACCACACATTGTAGAATAACACCAAAAGTAGAAAAATCAATAACTGTCCTCCAAACGAAAACTGTTTTAAAGTTGTCATATAAAGGCGATGACGTGAGTGAATTAGTCAGTACACTGTTGAACTCTGTCATCAGGCTCGTCTTTTGCACACTTTACCCGGTTACTGCCTTCACCACCACCAGGATACCAACGAAAGCGGTGAAAGAACCATTGACCCCTCTGCCAATCTGTATTCACAGTATTCACCAATTCAATCTTCAACATAGGCACGACAGAGAGATAGTTGTGTCACTGAATGGCCGAAAACATCCTCGTGTGGCTTAAAAAAGCGATGGATAACAAGTCTGAAACCACTACGTCATCGAATGAGCACATATAACACATTGCACAAAACACAACAATTTTTCGAACAAAAACATTGTCACTCCAGCCCACGCATTTCGGATCATCTGCAACACAATAAACACTAAGTCACTAAAGTTTTTCGAGGCTCCATCCATTCATACTCACAAACCCAGACTATGCAAACAACGTAGTTGGTTGGTCACCTTTGTTTTGCCTTGGTGACTGACATCCTCGCCACTTTCGTTTTTCGAGTTGAACTGCGTTGAGCTGTCCGTTGTCTTATGATCATTAGTGCACTGACTATTAAAATCACCTTGATCGCAGTACGTGCACGTGTACACATGCACTGAAACGATCATGACAACATTGTGTAAACCTCTGAATTATCTATTCCATTTTGCGTTGGAAAAGCACCGTTTCCAACCACAGGGGCTCTTAAAATTGGAAGGACTACAGGATTTCTCTTTAGGTTCACGTCTATGTGAACATAATCTAAAGTAGATGAGCGGTTGCAGAACAATTTTGAACGTCTGTTTACGTACACTGGTGACAGTGTCCGTTTATACAACCCGCTTTTGTTTAAAGACTGAGTACTTTCACATTATTTTGGTCAGACGCACGTGATCAAACCACGAAATCCTGTTTTGACAGCCGTTTTTACGCTCGACCTCATTCCAGGTTTAGTCCCCGTGCTAACTAACACTGAAATGTAAATGATATTTTTATGACCTGTGAAGTGAAACATTTTGCTTATTATATATGATGATGATGGCGATATGGTGATGCTGGCACCTTCCTATCGGCACACAAACCAATTCGTTTCTTCCCCCAATATCACACAATAAGATTGTTTTCACATTGCCCCACAGTCACAGTTAGATGATTGTGTGTGTCCAGTGCATATAGAGTGAGCTACCGTTCTTTACAAACTCAAAAGCGCATGATTCATCCACCTACGCATTCATTGTCTTATGCATTCCTCACACACGTTGAGACGAATCGGCCTTCACAGAGTAAACTTGGCGCCCATGGGCTCTACCATTGGCTCTGCCAGCTTCTCAGAATCCATAGAAATGACAATATTCCGTTTGCGTAGTGTGGAGATGTGAGCCGAAAATGATTAGTCATTCCGTGTACCGTTACCGTTAGCAACCAGAACCGGCGTTGTTACAACAAATCGGATATTTGAACGAATCGGCCATTCGCTCGTTCATATTTAGTTTATTTGTTTGTTTGTTTGTCTCGTTCAACATGCACATACACACACAGGTATGAATGTCACCATTGCCTGGAAATTTGTTTCATTTAGGCGTGTGCCCGCGTGGATGTGTGTATGCGCGTATGTTTGGGTGCCTCTTGTAAGATGCGTAGCTATGCGGCGAAGTTAAGACCAATCATTCTGACGAATTTAGGTCAAGCCTATTATGCAAATTGATTTGTCAGTCTTGTATCAAGCCAAGAATATAGGTAACTGGCAGCGTTGAATAGTTGCATTGTTTGGTTTTTGTACCTCTTTGACGTGAAATCTTTCAATGTCAGTACACATGTGGGTCCGAGCTTGGATCGAGGAGCACATGACACCAGTTCGCCTTGCCAACCTGGTTATTTCATAACTATCACCATTTCCAAGGGGTGAAATCACACCCAGTACAGAAAAAGCCTTTGGCAATGTTCCTACAAAAGCTCTGAGTGGACAGACCAATAAACAAGATTTCAAGAAGGTAGCGTATCTCGATCACGCACATGAGAGCCCGTTGTGCGAATAAATTGGTGACTGTACTGAAAATGAGACATCGGAAATTTTATTAACTGTTCATTAGTTAATGAAACGCAAAGCGTATACCACAGTGGTACTGCAACTCTGGTGGTGAGAAAGATCTTTTTCACTTGACTCAAACCCAGATTTTACCTGTGTATGCTGACCCGCCCAGGTGACCGAGGCAAAGTATCACAAAAATCCCAATCGCATAGCAGCCCAAAGTGATTTTCACATCCATTTTGGCGAACTACAAATACTGATCAACTGTTCGCTTGAATAGCGTAGCTTGTTGTAAAATTAAAAATGCACCAGAAGACATGGGTGGGGTGAAAACGTACTTGTACCGTTTTCTTTGTTTGGACTTGCAATTCCGTTTGCTGATGCAAAGCTTCGGCCAATTCCAAATGTAGGCGATTGTTTTCCGCAGTCAGAGCATCGAGTTGACGCCGAAAATCCGCTTTCATATCCAAATTTTCTTTGCTCACCTGACACAATTCGTCCAGTAGTGATTTGTTCTGTTGATCTGATCAGAATTTAGACAGGGAGGTGCTTACTACTCGAGATCTCTTACGAGCTCAATCTACCGCTTCAGGATAATATAGAACTTTTGTTCCTATCCGATACACAGGTTACCACAATAAAAACGGTATCTGATGTATCAAATCCTTGTACTGGCAACAAGTGCATTCTTAAAATCTAAGAAAAAGAACTGATGTCAATAGTGACCGGGCTTAATAACACAGTGGTTGCGGTCAATTCTCCAGAATTAGAATCGGAAAATCAGAGATTACCTGTAGACCGATGGAAACGGGAAAGATCGGCGCTGGTAGTGAACCCACAATCTATGTGTTGTTTTAATTATAACCGTAACCGACGCCGGTACATCCCCACCAATATTGTGAAATTCATCATTTCTGAAACCAGACTCGGCTCAAAAAGTAGCACTTGGTGGGTTATAATCGCCGAACTTTATCATTTAATTCAAATAAGTTTGTCTGGTTTATGAATTCTGTTCTTCGTACTACTGAGGCACGCTGTGCACCACACACTAGATTGAATTCGGTCCATTCACTTGCTGGTGAATATTAGCAATATTACCCAGTATTCCATGGATTTGGAAAACGTGATTTATAGGTTATCCTCGTTTGAAACTGTTTCATTCGCCTTCGAGGAGACAGTTTTACAATAGTTTTTACATTGTTTCATTGTCATCAGCGTGTACAGCCCTCAAATATTCTGTGACTAAGCGATTTTCAACCCACTTTGGTTGTTTCCAAAAACACCAACTCAAAATTGTGCCCAACTCTGAAAGCCTCAAGAAGACACACGGCAATCTGTATTGGTTATCAATATCACTTAGTATAGCTCAATATTAAACACACATGCTATCCAAAACTCATCACGATCCGTTAAATGCGTCGTATGACTGCTATTTATTGACCCACACTTAGGTCCTGACGAATAACAGTGTAGTAGGTGAACCATCCGCCTGAATAATATTATCATCATTTCATAATCCATGTCTTCTGCAATCCAGTTACCCTCGGTGTTCAAACCAATCCCGTAGGGTGATCACCTTCCGCCCACACAGGTCCTCAGAAGATGCGTAGGAATAAAAAATCGCATGAGGCTTTTAAGGACCAGTTTGATCATTACTTTGGAATGAAAATGTTGGCCTATGTGCGATCTTCTGAACTTGGTCTAGCTTTACTCCATTGACAACTAATGCCAGGCACAGATGGTTTTGGTCTTCGTTCCAAGCAGACAAATTTGAACACACTTCCTTCGGTGTTGCTAACTAGGTGTCTTTGTCAGACGACAGGCTAAAGGATATTTTGTACTGATTACATACTTGTAACAGATTCCATGCTTTTCCTTATCCTTCTTATCTTTCTGTTATTTATTCAGGTACCAAAGTGAACAATTTCCCTTTTGATGACGTTATTTGTATTAGAACAATAAATTATAAATAAATGACCTCCCTTGGAGTGCGATAGACCTAAACTAAGCAAACCATCTGGTTCTTAAAATATATAACTCATGATCAGGCCATCTTTCAATATGATCATCAATTTACCGACTGCATTATCATATAAAAATTGATTCCTGTGAAGTTCATTGAAGCTAGTGACTGCTCACATGGTTGAAGTCAATTCTGTTCGGGATGGTGTTATTTTCATCAGATTCAAAGCCATTATTTTATTTGTAGTTGTTTGATAAAAGACGATGGAAACAAACCGTGCAATGGGATAGTTTTCAGTTACCGTTTAAACGGAGTCTATGAAACAATTGTCAGCTTATCAACGAACTATATCTTTAGCATACCACGATTGACTAGTGATACTTGAATCATCAACCATTCTCAGTTGCTTGTAGACCCACTTGAATATGGGTACGCGGTGCTTTTAGCCATGGGTCAAATATTTCAGGCAACCATCGTTTAGTGCCAACAATATGGTGTGGCACTGCAACGAAAAACGTTAAGCAGTATGGTGTGCTGAAGGTTTCTTGGGAAGCATTTTTCAATGAGAATTCTGCCCGGTGGCCGAGTGGGTAGTATGCTTGCGTTCTATCCGTGAGGTCCCGGGTTCGATCCCTAGTTAGGTCGATGGATTCGCACTGCTGATGAGATCCAACCAGATCGAAATAGCTGTCCAGTGCTTCCCAGATTTTCAGGTCACGCCTCATTTACACGATAAATTCATCATCAAAACAAATTAAATCCTCTATTTCTCCCATGAAGCATATTTATTTATTTTACGCTGATCACAAATGCAGAACAATTATTCCCGAATGTTACATCAACACAGAGAAGGTCTCTTGCAAGATAGCTTCTTTACTACTCACTAGACCCGCGTTGGCAAGCAGTAACAGCCACTGTTTGCATGGACTAAATATACAACCTAGAATAGTTATTCACCAACAGTGTACATGCTGTTTAACATTCAAAGAAACGCGGTACCTGAGAATGTAAGAATGATTGAGAAAAAAGATTATTTAAGAAAAATTAAGAAACATTTTGCCAATGATACCGCTTGTTCAAGCTATCTACATATGCTCAACAGTGCTCTTGACATCTGTTCACTGGCCAAAGTGTGTTAAGTTTTTGATTCATACCGCTTTTGTATAGACCTCATCCTTCTTGGGTAACGAAAGCTCAAGTAAGATGAGACTAGCCGAAGTAATATTAATAATATCGTTGTATTTAGATGGAATAACATGAGCTGGTTTGAAAGTTTCACAATGTCGCCTATTCCTATCTGAAATCAGTTTGTCATTATCAAAAACAGACGTGATTCTCCAATTCCGTGATAGACTCATCAATATCCTGGTATCCTGGTGGTGGTGGCCAAGTGGTTAGGCCATCAACTAGTGACCTGGGTGTCTTGGGTTCAAGCCGCTCCACCGCCGCCCGTCTTCCCTATCTCTGTTTTTGCGCCAGTGAGCCTTTATATGACCGCAGCTCCCCTCCTGAAAGTTGACTATATATTCAATAAATAGAAAAAGGAAGTCAACAAATTCTCCAGGCATTTTTAAACACTCACAAAAGTAGTTCACATTGAGAAACCATCCTAAATAACGAGTGTATGATAATAAACACAATGCCAGGAACTATGATTTAACGTTGGTTTATACCGCGACAGCTTTTACGACTCTCTTCTACCAACCCATCTCCTGTCCTTGAAAAAACTCCTACTAATTTGGAAAAGATCTGCTACAAAACTACCCAGTAAGCTTGTAACTATTTCGATATGCGAGAGATATGCATTAGACTATAATTGCCAAGACAACATGGATTTAAGTATAAGGATGAAAAGAAGATTTTGACAGGACTGACTCAATGAACTACTTCTGCGTGAACCATTTACTGTAATTTTTGTCTTACTGTCATTTTCACATATTTGTGTTCTTCCAACAGACTTACCAAGTTTGTACTCTTTGCCACAGTCATTGGAAATCTGATTCTCCGACCTCGAAAGGTTCTCCGACAAGGATCGATTTTGTCGGGCCAATTGATCGATTTCGTCATTGAGATCACTGATGATTTTTGTGTACACTCGATCGGAACTGGTCTTCGCAGTGGGTCGTTTTGTAGATCGCATGATTGGCATCTCACCGGATTCTGAGATCGAACTGTAAAATCAAATCGGGCGTAAAAGTATGACCATCATTTTTAATAACAACTTGTTCTTCTTAATGCAGAAACGACCGAGTAAAGATTGTCAAATTGGGATTTTTACAAACCGTCAAATTGGTTGACTTGCTTCTGTGACTAGTTCAGGATGTAGACAAATCGATTTTCAATAGTTTTCTATATCCTTCTGAAAAAACACCGTTAGTGGGTTGCCTTATTTATAAATACTCCAGTTATCAGTATGTTGTTTTACGCTGAATTATTTTGCCTGTATGTGTATGCGGTATCGTTCGGAGTACGTGTTAGTTAGTACTGATCATCAGAAGTAAACTACAACAAATATACAATACATTCCTGATGTCAATGGTTTCCCACTCACTAACAATACTTTCTTTTCTCTACCTATTTTCCACTGAATGGATTATTGATCAAAAACGGTTTCGGGAAAGTGGAATCGGTCGCTCAAAGTGCTGCCGGGAGATAGAAAGACGAGGGGACCATTGGACAACACATGGTCGGGTTTCCTCACAACTTCCGGGACGTAAACTGGTGGATTTGACCGTTGGGCTTTCGCAGAACTAAAAGTATGTTTGCCCAAATGAGCATTGACAACAGTAACCTTTTGCTGATTCAAATACACTTGCGCGTATTACGGTTGGAACCTTTTATTCTCATGGAAGTGTTTCTCATACAAAGCTATAAAAAATGATAGAGATAGTGGGTTGGTAATATCTGGAAGGATATAATTTAAAACGCACAATTCCTCCCTTAAGAACCGTTCCAGCTATGGATCACGGGTTTAGTAAAAGAGTATGTATGTTAATTACGGGGCTCCTTTGATTTGTTATTTAGACCTCAGTAATATTGCTTTAACTGATATACATACATAGAGAGAAATTTAAATCGTATCCGGTCTGGTAACAGAACTGACCGTTGAAAAGCACTACCTTAACATTTTGGTCCGATCTTTCTGATCTTGACAGTCACGGATTGTGCCGATTAATCATCAATTTGAGTTACCGAAAACGAGACTGTTATTTTACTTAGTTTGTCGGCAAATCTTCAACGCAATAGTAATCAAAACTAACAGCGATTGGGAAGTGAAGTTGTCTGTTCAGTCTGTTTTATTCGTTTGCTGGACATTGGTGACGGAGAGCACTGATGAAATTTGTTAGTAATCAGATCTGGAGTCACGGATAAGTATTGGATAGCCTCTACCTGAACCTCAGACACTCGTTGGATTGGATGACAAATCGTGTAGAAAATGTTTCAAGTAATCGAGAGGTAGTCTAAATTTTACTAGCTATTCAAAAGACTTAAGGGGAAAACCCTCCATATGTCAGCTGTCTGTAAGTGAGGCCCAAAAATGAGGGTGGCTGCACACGGACTCATTGCAAAGTAATCGGAACAGAAAAGAACATTCCTCTTCAGAATTGAGTACACCTACTGATCATGTTTAGTGAGAAAACGTTAGGACCAATCGATTTTTTCCACTTCCGTCAATTTACTTGCAAACCAACCTGTACCCGAATGTCAGCATTATTTAACTGTTCAAATTTTTTAAATGTTAACTCATTCCAACTGCCTATGGAAAATTATCGAACTAATCCGATTCTCCCAAGTGAAAATGTATTCCAAACAGGGGGATATTAAACCATACGGTGAGCGGTGCAAATATTCTTCATCTTTCTCCAACTAATTTCTGATCAGTGTATCAGATACGTTATGAGTAGATTAAATTTAGCGAATTACTCTGGGTTTGCTTGATATATCTTGCAAACGGGTCAAACATGAGACTCGGAATTCAGATCGCTAAAAGACAGTTTACATCGAATAAAGAAGTTGCTTTAAAACCTGCCACGCGACTTCGATCAAACATCTTATTTACTCACCGGCAAAGTAAAATATTCTAACTTGCTGCCCACTTACTGACCAACTTCTTTTATGCGTAAAAAAATGAAACAATATGGACCGCATTTTTCCTTGCATAAAAAGTGCAGCCTGATTCAAGACTGGTAAGGTATCCAACAAAAACAATTGAAAATTTCACTTCAATATGTTGCATTTCGGTCGTTTTCTGAATAATACCTGTCATCTTAGAGATAGTAAAATTATCAACTTCATTTTTCCACTTTCTAATTTTCCTCTTTCCCACATAAATATACAATCCGAATGTCCACGATAGAATTTCCTTTGAAAATCAATGGCCTTGGTCGGCTGATTCATCAGCCTATTCATGAGGATTCATGCATTCATCCTATCGACAGGAGGAAAACACATCTCGACCGCTTCCGGTCGCGCTTTTGTCAGCCTGTCTGTTCATCTGTCAATTTTCGTTCACTTCTCTTTCCAAACTAAGTGATTGATTTCGTTGTTCACTCACCCAATCACTGTCCTTCTGTTTTCCTTCAGGACCTCTACCTGTCCACACCCAGTTTGTTATCGGCCACAAGTGAGGCTTGTTCAGACTGTTCTGGATGATTCTACGGTCCAGACGAGGGGTAATTGAACTTTGTATGTGTGTAGCCTTATCTCACTTGGTTCACTTTACTATTAAATCATTTATGATGACTGTTGTTTACTGCACACACAAATCAGCCAACAAAACGAGTGACAAACTCGTCCATCTGAAAATATTGACCAGATCACTTTTTCATGTATTCATTTGAACATTGTTTTCGCTAAACTTATTAAACAATAATTTAACAAAGAATTTTTACATTACTGAACTACAGTGACCAGCGGATCAATCAATTTGCAGACATTTTTCGACTTAACTCCAGGGCACAATGCATCATATAAGGTACAACACTAGATGCAACAAAATTGTGTCGACGGAATGATGAATTGATCTATTTATTGCCCAAGTAATTTCGCTCTGGAGTACTTGACTGTTTCAGTCACTCACTACTTCAATAACTTATCGATGGATCAAGTGAATATGAAAAACAGCCAAAGATGGAGTTCTGGGTTTTCGTAAATCTGTCTTGTCTTTTTACTTCCTTTTTTATTTATTGAACATACAAATGTACATTCAACAAGGTGTAACGATTTAAGTTTATTTCTGTGACAAGGAACGCAAGCTTTTGTCAAATAATAGTTCTTTTTCGTCAATCTTATGATGATTATGATTCATTTGAATGTATTTGACCATACCAGCTAATCCAAATTCTTCAAGATGCTTCCGAGGCACATGACTTTGCGTACTCTAGGACAATCAAACAGCCAAATAAGAAAATCTGTGTTTTGTCATAGACTCGACAAGCGTCTTGTTTATGCCACTTATGTTCTGCTGTCCTTCTGCACACTTTTAGTATCTGATCGTGCTATTACACAACAACTACTCAACGGAGGTTTTTTCCGAAATTCCGGATATCTTTATCGCGAAATCTGAAAAGCGCAAAAGGCTGGCAAACTTTAAGTTACCGATCTTGTTTTATTTTAAATTTAATGCCGGTTTGCATTTCCAAGGGACCACAAAATAGGGTGAACCGTAAACTGCTTCTGCAGTAATTTTATAACAGTTCCATTTTGAATGCAAAACCAGTCAACGATTGAACGCTACAAATTAATTAATCCACTTCAAATTTCTATCTCTTAATCATTGTGATCTCGGTTCTAACTCTTCCAATTTTGTTTTAAAAGTTCCGAATTATTTTAAATCAAAAACTTACTGGTGTTTACTCCATATTGAACAATGTTACGAAAATTCCTCTAGCTGTTTTCTTACAAAATCAGGCTTTATTCTCAATTACCATCCGTGAATTACCCTTATGTTTTTGACGAATCATATATCCCAACCACTAGCCATTCTGTTAAAGTGAATGTTCGACCAAGTAACACTCCCGCAATCGCGGAAACAAGGAGCTATTTTCCCCATATACAACGGTGGTTGTCGTAGTGACCCCGCTAACTACCGACCTGCAACCCTGCTTCTGGGGTTATCGAAAATCATGGAGTCCATTGTGACATTTTTTGATGGAACACCTAGAAAGATACAATATTCTTTCGACGGGTCAACATGGGTTCAGGGAAAACCGATTCTGCTTCAAACATACACTTCTTGTTTGAGATGAATGGACCAGTGCGGTCGACGAAAGGGGACGCGGTGGATGTAATTTATCTCGAATTCCAGAAAGCATTGGTTTGGTTAAATCACCAAAATATGTTACAGAAGCTTTACCATTGCGGTATTCGGGATTTCGTGTTTGATTGGATGAGAGCATTCCTCCGACAGCGGATCATATCAGTTCGTGTTTCTGATTCCCTATCCGGATCTATCAACATCACCCGCGGTGTTCCACAAGGTTCTGTATTCGGCCCTTGTCTTTTCCTCGCACCCATAAATGATCTATAGAATGTGTTAGGTCCAAAAACAATACTGTTTGCAGACTACTCCGAAATCCGGAATATAGTAACAAAACCCGATGGTTTTCTAACACTTCAAAAAACACCTGACGCAGTGTATCAGTGGTCTAAGGAAATGACATTGAATTCAATGTTTATAAATGAAACATTTTATCCCTACAGCGCAAGAAAAGATTCTCGTATTTCCTTAGGAATCAGTAGCAACCGCTTACATCAAGTGAAAAGGACTGAGATATCAATTTTCATTTGCGCTAAGGTTTCGTCCGCTGCAGTGAAGAATGTTGGCTTGCTTAGGCTAGTCTTTGGTCGGTTTGAATCAGCACTGTTCCCACACTTTTTATCAGAGTACTCAATCCAAACTTGGAATCCATGGTTGAAAGGTGATCGTAAGATTCTGGAGCGTTCACAAAGGATTGCTACCAATAAAGTCAAGGGATTGTATGACCTCACCTATGAGGAGAAATCACGATCATTTGGACTAAATTCTGCTCAGTACCGCCGAATTTGGGGAGGCTTGATTTTGACGTATCTAGTACTGCAGAACGCAAACCATCCATATCGGTCGCTGCTCATGTTATCCAACAATGTATACCTTAGGGGGCACCGTTT